TGTGTGTGTATGGACTCAGCAGAGTCTGTGTGTGTGTGTATGGACTCAGCAGTCTGTGTGTGTGTATGGACTCAGCAGTCTGTGTGTGTGTATGGACTCAGCAGTCTATCAATAATTAAAATTCCTGTGAGTTGTTGTGTAGGAAGGGCCCCAGTGCATTGCTTTGCCCAGGGGCCCTTAACTCTGTTAAAATGGTACTGCTTGTGTGTGTCCCTGAACTTCTTTGTAGTGAGCCTTCTGTTTATACAAGTGAGTGTCTGTAGTAAGCTTGTGTGTGAGTCAGAGAGTTTTGTCTGTCATTAAGCCTATTTGCGCATGTCAGTGAGCTTGTGTGTTTACTGTACTATATATATTTAATTTTTTTTGACTTGTAGGAATGGCATACGTTTTTTTTCCAGGGCTGCTTTGGATTCCCAGGGATTCCCAGTTTGGCTCTGCCAGCGAGTGCACTTTACCGCTGAATAATCTGTGTGAGCTGCCGCACACTTAAGCCCTGTTACACGCGTCTGGGAGCTGCTGTTGACCGGTACTAGTAGTCTAGAGATTGGGGTTTATGCTCAGCTATCTGTATAATACAGATCTGTGTGTATAAAATATCCCGGGATAGTCAGTGCTTCCTGTATAGTGCTGCTCTCTGTCTTGGGATATTATACACAAACAGACCTGTATTATACAGAGAGCAGCACTATACAGGGAGCACTGAGTGTCCCAATTTATTATACACACAACCCTGTATTATACAGAGAGCACTGACTGTCCAGGGATATTATACCCAGACAGTAATTGATAGCTGTGCTGCAAAATGTCCTTGGAATTTTTTTTCAAATGTTGGCAACTATGGCACTGTATCAAGGATAATGTGTTTGTTTTTTTAATAATCCCTGGTGGAAAATAATGAATCCACCACCAGGTATTATTAAAAAAAAAAAACACACATTGTGTCGGGGGTGTGGCTTAACATGTGACAGGGGCGGGGTCAAACTGCGACGAGGGCGGGGTTAAATGTGCCCCCCTACTTTTGTCACTGGCCCTCCATGTGCCCCCCCGAAAAATGAATCCTAGAGACGCCACTGGGTATTGGTCTACACTGACAGTGGACCAGGGTGGCCTTTGGTATGAATGTAGGATAAGTTAAGGAATAAAAATATGTATATGTCCATTATATATATTGTGGTGGTGTAATGTCAAATTTTTTCTTTTAAAAAACAAAAAAAAACACAATAAAAAGAACTGGGAAAAAACAACAATGCACACCAATATTTGTGTTCTTTGAATTGGTTTATTTGTACATTTTGTCAATACATTATATAGGGTCCCAGATCCAGAGAGGACACATTTTATTTGGGGACTAGGAAAAGTAAGTTGTTTGTGTGTTGTGTTTTTTTTTTTTATATTTATTTATTTATATATATATATATATATATATATATATATATATATATATATATTATTTAAAAAAACGTGATTATGGATACTATAAGCACCATAGCCATTTTATCTGTTATACCTAATCTAAGCCATACGCGCTCCCAACTCATAACAGCGTGAGGGCTAAGAGTAGATAACTGACATACTCAGTCTATCACTGCTCCCTATCTCTGCTCGGGCTAATGCTGAAACATTACAATCATCAGCAGAGAGGGGCCTGGCTGCAGCACCCTTTATCATTGTTAAACAGTCCAAAATGGTGTATCCCTGACCCACAAGCCGACCCACGAGTGACCCCAGACAGCACTTTTCTAATTGAAAAAGAGGAGAGAAAAAACAAAGGTGGGGTGAATACATATACCCCTCTATTATAAAAAAAAAAACCCCTGCAAAATGGAATTGTTAATCTTAAGAAGAAAAGTTAATAAATTAAATCATAACCGAGTGTCAACTTTTTTTTGTGTTATAGAGTGCATTCTTAGAATAAAAACCTAAATAGAAACTTTTAACATATTAACACTTCAAAATTAGTTGTTCCATTTTGCTGTTTTTGTAATAAATTAGTATATTTATCTATCACTAATGTGTTTTTATCTTTTCTGTATGTAATTGTACTTTAGACACTATAACCGCTTAAATGAGATGACCATTCTTATTGGATCCCTATCTTAAAAGTATAATTTGTTTTCCTCTTCTGGTATCTTCAAAACTTACTTTTTAAGCACATATCTATCATTTTGAGTCTAAAAAACAAACAAACAAAAAAAACCTCTTGGCCCAAAATGTCACTGACAACTTATTACACATTCCTACAATAAAATGGTAATATATATAGTGGTGGAGTAAGTCTAAGTGTCCTAACTGTAAATGGTTATAAATGAGTAGGTAATGCCACCTAAAATTGAATCATTAAATTAAAGGAATAAAAACAGCAGGGTTCTTTAATAAACCAAAAATTTCATCTCAAATAGCTAAATTGTCACATTTATTTGATTTTTGTCTCTTTTGACCTGAAAGGTGCAATTTCCTCACCAGTTCCAAACAAAACCCAGTTTAGATAATAATTCTGATGGGACCTCTGTTATAAATATATCATACATTGTTGTAGATTTTTCCAAATAAATGTAGTACTAATATAACTCCCTTACGGTTAATCACTAGAGAGGGAATTGTTGGGAATTCAAAGTTAATTTCTAATTTAAGGCCAATACAGCTTAACTGAATCATTCTCCAAGTCCGCTACCGCTGTAATCAAAATTATTCAACCCCTGTTGAAAATCAGTTTTATTGCCAACCTGTACAGACTTTCAGATATTCGCAATGAACAAATCAAACAAAAGCTATTGAAATAGCTCAACACAACAAATGCTGCAAGTGGTTTCACCAAATTCAACTGAAAATATAACTTATGACTTTTTTTCGTGTAAACCAGAGGAAAATTATTCAACCTTAGGGCAAGCATCTTTAGTACTTTGTAGACCACCCTTTTGCTGTTATGACCTGCACACAACGAGATACATAGCCAGACACCAGCTTCTGGCAGCGTTCCTGAGGAATCTGAGCAATGGCCTCCAGTTCAGTAATATTCTTGGGTTTGTGTGCTACAGCCGCCTTCTTTCAATCCCACCAGATATCTTCTATGGGTTTAAAGTTAGATGACTGTGATGGCCACTGTAGAATTTTCCAGGACTTCCTCTGCAACCAAACCTTGATAAAATTTAAGGTATGCTTGGGATCATTGTTTTGTTGGAGGGTCCAATGACGCCCAAGCTTCAGCTTCCTCACTGATGGCATGATATTTTCTCCTAGGATTTCCTGATACTTCATGAGTTTATCTTGCCTTCCACATGCTGCAGGTTTCCAATGCCAGAGGATATAAAGCGGCCCCAGAGCATCACTAAGCCACTGCCATGCTTAACTATAGGCAGAGTGTTCTTTTTAGTATATGCTTCATTGTTCTTCCTCCAGACATACCGCTGATCCATTGGACCGAGAAGTTTGTGTTTCATCTCTCCACAGAACAGCATTCCCAAACCTCTGTGGCCTATTTACATTATTTTAGGCATATTGGAGCTGACTTTTCTTGTCCTTTCGGGCCAGTAGTGGTGTGCATCTTGGAGTTCTGCCATGGAAACCTGCGTTTAGTACACACCTTGCTGTGCTCACTGACACTCCATGTCTGTTGCAACCAAGTCTTTCTGCAGGTCTTTTGCCCCATCCAGGTAGTGTAACTACTGTTCCTTAAACTTTGAACGTACGAACTATGCTTTCAACAGTGTTTCTAGGAACATTCAGTGCCTTTGCTGTCTTTTTGTGTCCTGTTACTTGCTTGTAAAGAACGATGATCTCTTCTCTTAACTTTGTGGACCATTATTTTGACTTAGCCATATTTCTAACATGCAGTCAAATGTGACACTTAACAAACCCCTAGCCAGTTCAGATATTTCAAGTGTTCCAGCTCATGCAAACTTAGTGCAACTAATGAAGCCCTTGATTAGTTGCATCAGGTGTGCTTTGGACAATACCTGGTTTGTGCTTTTGTGTGGGATATCTTTCAGGAGGTTGCATAATTTTAAGACTGGAGAAGTCCATATACGTTGAATTTTCAGTTTAACTTGGGGAAACCACTTGAAGCATTCTTTGTATTTAGCTATTTCAATTGCTTTAGTTTGATTTGTTCATTGCAAAAAGCTGAAAGTCTGTACATTTTGACAATAAACCTGATTTTCATTGGGGGTTGAATAATTCTGATTACAACTGTGTTTCCAGTTTGGCTGTTTTGAAATTTAAAATTATTTTTTAATTCCTGACAATTCACACTTTAATAAATTAACCCTGCCTGTAACAGTCTGCTTTTCTTTTGTACTTCAACTAAGGATTTTGCAATGAGTGGCATGAGGATTGGAATCTTTTATACCAAAAACCAACATGTGCTTAAATCTATGAGCCACCTTGCTCTGTTTCACCAATGCCCTGGACCTACGCAGTATGTTATCTCCAGGCTACTGGGAGACAGAGGTTTGTGAGACCTACCATGTAGCTTTTTCTTAATGTTTAGTGTCAGTGGTTAGTGAATATTTGTAATATGCAGTTAATTTTAGTAATGTCTAATGGAAAGAATCGCTTCAGAGAAGTTTGAGGGGGGAAAAAGTATTAGCAATGTTGCTAAAAAAATAAATAAATCACAAACTAAGGTTCTACTTACCAACATTAGTACACATGAATTTGGGTCTAGAAGGAGCAAGGTTGCCACAGAGTGATGTAATGTGCCCAGTAGGAATGTCTGTTATGACTTAATGATGTCATAGGGCATTCCGTGCTTACAAAACGTATAGCACAGAGCTAACACGCTAGCTGCCCGTCATGAAACCCGTTGTGCCACAGAAGTGTTTATGCATGATAATTATTATTACTCTCCTTTATAAAACGCCAACAAGTTCCACATGACTGTACAACTGGGTAATAAATAAACTGTACAATATACACACCTAATAGAAAAGATAGAGGGACCTACTTGAGCTGAGATCTAACCGTTTAAGCTCTTTTATGGTGTGGGTGTTCTCATGGAACAAGGAGTGCAGTAAATATCTTACTTGAAATGTACATTTATGGAATTTCCTCTGGTTTGCATAAAAAGTGGGACAACAAATGAATAATCTGTGACTTGAGGACAAAGGTCCAAAATGGGTCTGGGAGATATTTTAAAAATTACTCAATTTAATTTTAATAAATGAAATCTTGGATCTTTACTTTTATATATTGATAATTTTGCTTTGAAATCAGACTTGTAAACCTCTTCTTGTCTTCAGAGTGGTTGGAAAACACATTCTTTCCAGGTAACAGGCAACGTCTCAAGGAATCCCAGTTGATGATGGTCCGTGGTCTGCAGGATCTGGGGATTCCAGTTCTCAAAAGCTCAGCAGGACTCTATGTTTGGGCAGACTTCAGAAAAGTGCGTAGTCCACAAAATGTGTGATAAGCGTAAAGGAAGCAATAATAGTTTTATTATGAATCTCTATTGCTACACATTCTAGTGTATCTGTCAAACTTTTCTAGTATCTATGAAGAGTCTATTCAGTCAGGCCATTGGCAGATTGCTGCACTTATATGGAAATGTCCATATATCAAAATATTTTAATAACATTAAGAATAAACCAACAAAAAATAATTAAAAAATGTTAACAAGAAATCTATTATTGAGGTTATCTGCAAATTCAAAATAAATTTGAATAAAATTTCTAGAACCAATTGTTGTATTGCTCTGTAATAGCCCTTAGCAATATAATGCTCACACAATTAAATAGTTTAATTTTAAAAAGGAAAAAAAAGTGGATTTTAAAAAAAGTGTTGTTTTTTTTGGAACGTGTAGTTTTTGACATCCCAGACATTAGAAGCAGAGATGGAATTATGGTGGAGATTTCTTGGAGAAAAGCTGTACATCGCTCCCGGCAAGGCCTTTGAATGTTATGAGCCTGGCTGGTTTCGCCTGACATTTTCTCTTCCAAATGAGCTGTTGCAAGCAGGTATTATAGTAGTTTCATTGAAATTCTTACCACATGATCCACTTATAGCCTAGTGGAAGCCCTTTCCATCCTTCAGTTAGCAGGTACTTCTGGTTTTAAAGTGAACATAGAAACATAGAATGTGACATGTTGCCTAATTTTAAACTTAAAATAAGCTATATCCTTTCTCTATGCACTTACTGAAATTTTAGTTTATTTTTTCAGTGTCCTTCAATGTAGCTTCATAGAATTTTTAGAACACTCACCTTCTTCCTAACAGTTCCAATGCCGCCTTTAGCTCGTCTTCATGGGAGTGAATCCTCTTTTTTTCTGTCCTGCCACAAATTGGGAAGCCTCTGAAGGCTTCCCCACACTTAGCACTGCCCCCATAGGCGTGCGCAGCCTATTGCATTAGGGTGTGCACCCTAAAGCACAAGCACACGCCGCATATATGTATGTATGTATGTATATACATACACATATATACACACATACACACACTGCTGTGTGTGTGCTGTGTGAGGGTGCTGTTAGTGTGATGTGTGTGTGACGATGCTGGTAGTGTGCTATGTGGGTGAGGGTGTTTGTGTGTGTGTGCTTGTGAGGATGCTGTTAATGTACTGTGTGTGAGGGTGCTGTTTGTGTGTGTGTGCGCTTGTGAGGGTGCTGTTAATGTACTGTGTGTGAGGGTGCTGTATGTGTGTTGGTGCTGTGTATGTCTGTGGGTGCTGTATGTGTGTGGGTGCTGTGTATGTCTGTGGGTGCTGTGTCTGTGGGTGCTGTATGTGTGTGGGTGCTGTATGGGTGCTGTATGTGTGTGGGTGCTGTGTATGTCTGTGGGTGCTGTATGTCTGTGGGTGCTGAATGTGTGTGGGTGCTGTGTGTGGGTGCTGTATGTCTGTGGGTGCTGTGTATGTCTGTGGGTGCTGTATGTCTGTGGGTGCTGAATGTGTGTGGGTGCTGTGTATGTCTGTGGGTGCTGAATGTGTGTGGGTGCTGTGTATGTCTGTGGGTGCTGAATGTGTGTGGGTGCTGTGTATGTCTGTGGGTGCTGAATGTGTGTGGGTGCTGTGTATGTCTGTGGGTGCTGAATGTGTGTGGGTGCTGAATGTGTGTGGGTGCTGTGTATGTCTGTGGGTGCTAAATGTCTGTGGGTGCTGAATGTGTGTGGATGCTGTGTATGTCTGTGGGTGCTGTGTATGTCTGGGTGCTGAATGTGTGTGGGTGCTGTATGTCTGTGGGTGCTGTGTATGTCTGTGGGTGCTGTGTATGTCTGTGGGTGCTGAATGTGTGTGTGTGCTGAATGTGTGTTGTATGTCTGTGGGTGGGTGATTGTGGGGGGTGGAGGTGGGGGTACATTATTTGCTATCCCCCCTCCCTTCTTACCTTTTGTAGGGAGGGGGGATAGTGCTGCTGCTTCCTTCCCTGGTGGTCCAGTGGAGGAGGGGAAACTTGCTGCTGTGATCCCTGGTGGTCCAGTGGAGAGTGAACTCTAACCCCTGTGGGGCTAGAGTTCACTCTCGCGAGATTTGAGCGTTGCCGTGGCAACGCTCATATCTCTCGAGAGGAACCCGGCGGAGCTGCCGGCAATAGCTCCGCCGGGTCCTCTCCTGCCTCCCTCCCTGCATGTGGGTCAGTGGGGAGGGAGGCTGAGAGCAGAGCCGGCGCTCGGATAGCGCCGGCTCTGCATGAGCCGACAGGGGAGATCCTGAGATCTCCCCTGCCGGTCTCAATACACATAGGCGTGCCGCGGGACTAGGGTGTGCCCAGGCACACCCAGCACACCCCGTGCGCACGCCTATGACTGCCCCCTCATTATACTGGATTTATTGCCAGTGTATCAGCCCACTGAACAGAGCCAGGTAAGACTTCACTCCATTCTGAATAGGATTTAATTTTAAGTAAAAAGTGGCACGACGGGTCCCCTTTTATGTTGCAGTTAAAGTTTCATTAAAACAGCTCTAACCTTCTGTTATACTTTAAATAAAGAACAATATGCAATTTAGCCATTTTGCAGTCCTCAAAAAAGGCAGATATTGCCTTTATCAAGTCACAAGGGGCCATCTCGCCTGATGAACTAGCAAGGCAGATCAGCCAGTTTGAATGCATGCCTGGCTCCCTGCCAATCAAGCAGGCTGGCCTACCAAGTGCAGACCACGCAGTGAGCACTGTTTCACTATCTTTGGCCCAAAACACCATGTCCATCTTTTGAAAACTACTTTCCCTATTTTCTAGGAGCTCCATATTGTTGGTGCGTCTGAGTGTATAACTGAGCTCCACAGCAATAATACTACCAGTAATGTGTCTTTAAACTAAAATAAATGTGTTTAGAAATCCATCTGTGTAAATAAGATACATTGTTCTTGTTCTAAAGTATATTTTAGTTCCATAAATTTTTATTAGTAAGTCAACAAAAATTTCTCAAAGCAGCCCTACCCATGGCCACATCCCCACTCACATACTTAAAATTAGTGTCCCTCTTTGTCCATTTGAAAGGTTGGGAGATGTGGAGTAAATAAGATCTCCTGAGAATATCATTATAGAATAACTTCATATCTCAGAACCATCAGGGATCCATGCTCTGCCTATTTCAAAATAATTGTAGTAGAAAGGTAAAATTGGATGTTAGAACATTTTAAGGAGCATTTTGACTTATTACACAATAATAATGTAGAAGCCTACAGGGGAATCAAGACACAGGACCCAAGTATATGGCACAGGTGCACCAGTTAAAACAAAAGATCATTAAATATTTTTGGGGGTTAAAATTTTTTTTTATTTTCCTTTTCTGAACAGGCTTAAAGAAACTTAAGAAACTGTTGAAGCAAGAGACGAAAACTAAAATCTGCAACTGAGCTATATATCCTATAACATGGGACTGATGGGTTTAATTAAATTATATAAATGAAACCTTCTATATTTTTGTATTTATTTCAAACACAAATGATGTAAAGATATTATAATTAGGAACCAACAATCTACTTCAACGTAGCTGTACAATGTTCCTTGGGTGGCAAACTCTGCATAATTATTTGCTCTGCTCTGACATTCAAAAAATATAATACAAAAACGTGATGAACACACAGCTACAAGATATAACAGTAAAATGAAAGTATCTATGTAAAACCTATATATTATTGTATAGATCATTCAATGCATTTTCTTTATATATAACCAATTTCTTACCTAGGAGTTCAGAGCATATTGGTGTTGACTCCTGTGTGCAATGTGCAAATATACCTCGTCTGCACTTAATCTGCGCTGTATTACTGTATTTTACTGACAGACCCCCTGTTTCGTTAATCAAACAGTTTACCTTATTTTTCCATGTACAAGTGGTCCTCACTTTACAACCTGCCTGTTTTAGAATGGCTCGAACTTACAACCAGCTCTCTAGCGTGGGGGTTCAAGGGATTCCCCACGTTGGAGTGTTGCTCTATGTTCGGGCAGTTTTCCCCGAACATAGATAAGAGGGATTCCCTGCTCTAGTGCGTCTGTCTGGGGAAATTTACCCGAACATAGCCATATGCACCAGAACAGAGAATCCCTCTAATCTATGTTCGGGGAAATTTCCCAAAACATAGACGTCACTTACTGACCAACAGGGCCGGACTGAGGATACAATGCAGACCTGATAAAATTCTATATAAAAAAAAAAATATAGAGCTATCTATCTATCCTTGCACTTAGGCTCAACAGTTATTGAATTAGCTGGGCGCCAGTCCCTGAGGCACTAGTAGATAAACATAACAAACAAATTTGGGCTGCACTCACAGTCTTCAAATAAAACTCAGTTTTATTGAATTTCCATATTGATCAGGAGATTAATGTTTCAGTCCCCTGCTGGGACTTTCTTCAGGATAACCCTTTTTATTACTGGTTTATGTTTTTTTTTTGTTTTGTTTTTTAATTCAAAATATTGGTCCTTTTAGTGTGATTAAACTATATAGTAAAGCATACTCAGACAATCTCTCCCTGACACAAGCTCATTGGTACACAGGCTCACAGACAATCTCATTGATATTTGTAAGCTCACTAAGGCACACAAATAGACTTCCTGACAGACAATCGCAATGACAAACACGGGCGTCCGCAAGAATTTTTCTGGGAGGGGGGCATAATTGTAATGACATCCATGCTTGGCCCCTTTTTGACAGTGTCATGAAAGCGAGGAGCATAGTCATTATCACATGGTGAATAGCGTTTTCACAACTATGGTGTCAGGAATACATGTTTGTTTTCCTGACACTATAGTGTTCCTTTAACCCCTTAAGACCGCAGCCAAATGTACAAGTTGTGATCCCAAAAAAATGTAAACAAACCAGAGTTTTACAATATGTCTGTTCAACAATAATTTACCTCGTTCATGCTAAGTGCACCCACACTTATTATATATAATGTTGTTCAGGGGAAACAGAGCTTTCATTTCATATCAAAAATTCATATATGGAACTCCATTTTATATGAATAAAATCAAAAAACTTAAATTAGGAAATTTTGTTTTTCAATTTCAGCATGGCAATTTAACTGTTAATGTCAGAATACTGTTCGGTTTTCCTGCAATAAAACATACATATTTGTATTCAGAAATGTCTCACGGGTAAAACAGTACCCCCCCTCCCCCCCCATGTATAGGTTTTATGGGGTTTTGGAAAGTTACAGGGTCAAATATACGGCTTGTCCATTATTTTATTTTCTACTTGGAAATTTGACAGATTGGTTTGCGTGGCCTAGGTAGCCTTTGGGACCGTATGATAGCCCAGAAATGAAAATTACCCCCATCATGGCATACCATTGGAAAAAGTAGACATCCCAGGGTGTTCAAAATGGGGTATGCCCAGTCTTTTGTAGTAGCCACTGGGGCACAAACCCTAGCCAAAGTTAGTGGGGTTTTTTTTGGGGGGGGGGTTAATTTTTTTTTTAAATCTTTTTTTCATTTTTCACATAAAATCTGTACTTTCACTCATTAATATTATAGTTAACTGCCCTGAAACACTCCTAGTTCTGATCAGTGATGTCTCACGAGCGCCATGGTACCCCCCATGTATAGGTTTTATGGGGTTTTGGAAAGTTACAGGGTCATATATACGGCTTATCCATTTATGCTTTTTTACATTGAAACTTGGCAAAGTGATTTTTCTGGGCCTATATCGCATCTGAGCGAGCATGGCAGCCTGGGTAATAACATTTCCACAATTATGGCATACCATTTTCAAAAGTAGGCAACCCAGAGTATAATAAATGGTGCATTTTAAGATGTTTGGTCTAACCACTTTATCAGAAATGAAGGGCCCACTAAGCGGTTCTAGCTTTATTTTTGCTTTTTCACACACATGAACTCACTTTTCACAGGACATTTCATATTCCTGATATGGGTTATTGCAACAAAGCCTCACTAGTTGTATTTAACATTGTCTCCTGAATGTAACAGTACCCCCATGTACTAGATTTTCTGTTTTTGGGGGGGAAGTCACGGGGACAAAAATATTAGATGTCCTTTTCAAACTTGGTTTGACAAAGTGATTTTCTGGGCCTATGTGGCTTTAGAGTATGACAGCCTGGGTAATAACATTTCCACCGTTATGGCATTCCATTTTCAAAAGTAGGTAACCCAGAGTATAACTGGCATAATTTGAGATGTTTGGTCTAGCCATTTTAACAGAAATGCTGGGCTCATGTAGCGATTTCTACTTCGATTTTTGTCTTTTTAATCAGATAAATTTAAATTTTCGCTAGAAATGTCAGAATCCTGATATTTGTCAGTGCAATAGAGACTTGGTATTTTGATTTAACACTGTCTTCTGAATATAACTGTACCCACATGTACCATGTTTCCAGGTTTTTATTATATCACAGGAATAGAACAGTACCCCCACATCCACTTTGATCTGAAGGCAGAGAGATCTTTGATATTACATAGAGAGTTACTGTGTGAAGAGTTTGAGATAAAAAAAAAAAAAACTAAACTATTTTTTTAACCCTTTCAGTGCTAATCGCAGCATTAACCCTGTGATTAGTTTTTTATTGGGAAGTCACATTTCAAGTACTACAAATGTAGTATTTTAAGTTGTTTAGTGTAGCCACTTTAGAATGGCTTGCGTAAACAGGGACAGGCCAAGGTCAGGGGAATCCAGAAGTCATAGTAGTCGGTAAAACAAGCCAATGGGTCGGTACAGGCAGCTTACAAAGCGTAGTCAGGACAAGCAGAGGTCAGAATTCCAGGGAAATCAAGCAAACAAACTGCCAAAGTCCCATACAGAGTGATTCAGAAGTTCAGCTCTGTATGGTAGACTTTGAAACAGTCTGTTATGCAGAGGGCGGGTAGAGATGGGCAGGTTGGGCAATAATAACTAGAGTCCGTTCGGACTCCTTTCTTGTAGCAAACACAGCACTTTCTTTGGGGAGCTTTTTTACTAGGGGTGGGTGGGATTCGGGTAGGGAAGTGTTTGCCACAAAGTCTTTGGAGATCTGATTCTAAAGTGGGATTGGGGGGCTGGGTAAATAACATACGGGACAAAAGGCTTAATGTGAATTTGAGGAAAGAGCAGGGCTTACCTATGACCTCTTTTGTAAAGGCATTGAAAATTGCAATCTGGCTCACTTAGATTGCAATTTTCTTGTACCAGGTTCTAGTTTTTCAGTTCACCAGATAGGGCTGTATGTATTGGTCAGCCAAGTCTACTCCCCCTATAAACTTGCTGTAGTCTACAATGGACTTTGGCTTTTCCAGATGCTCAGTGCTACCTCTCACAGACACTGGCACTGTACTTTCATCCTGCATCGTAGACAGCATGTATACATCTTTCCTATCTCTGAAGCGAAGCGCAAGCAACTCATCCTGGCGGAGAGCTGAAGAGGAACCTCTACTGCTTCTGCCTCTTGCCAGGGCTTGGGGGCTCCTGTGATTCTTCCTCACTGTGCCACAGGTAGGGTTTCAAAACAATATACATTTTTAAATAATTCTATACTGGTATAATAATTGTCAACCCATAGCCTATAGCACTTATTCAGTGTCACGGTTCTCGCCGCAGCAAACAGATGGCCAGACGTAGTCACCCATGGAGTTCCCAACAAGGGACTTGAACCGGGGAACTTCGCAGTCCTGGTCCTGCTTCCTTCCTCTGAGCCACAGCAGCTTTTGTATTCCACATGTCATTCTGGTCCTGTTCATCCTGGCATGTCTATTACTCTGGGGGCTGTACCTTGACTTTGGATGTGCTTCACCTGACCCTGATCAGACATTAGCAGGGTATTTAAACTCAGCCTTGCCCTGTGATCAGCATCAAGTCTTTGATCCTGTTGTGTGCTTTGTACCAGTGTTCCTGTCATTTGAGCTGCTACTTGTTATTGACCCCGGCTTCTGACTATGTTTACTCTGACCTCTGGCATCCCTTGACTTCGGCTACTCCTCGTTGTTCCTGTCTTCTGGCATCCTTTGACCTCGGCTATCCTTTGACGATCCTGCTGTTTGAGTCCTTGCCTGTCCTGCGACTTGGTACTTCATCCTGCACAGCCCCCGTGCACAGACCCACAGGCCGGGTGAATTCTTACCTGACCACCTTGGCCTGTGGCTATCTGCAAGGGTGAGCAACATATCTGCGCTACAGACTCCCAACCCAGGTAAGACCCTGACATTCAGCAAGGGAAGGATTAGATCCCAAACAATCTTGTCATTTGTACCCACAGAATCAGGGCATCCTGGTAGGTCAAGATGGCTATCCTTCCCCTGGTAAATGCGAAACGCCCATGTGTAACCAGCACAAGATTCGCATAATTTATAAAATTTAACGCCATATCGGGACCGCTTAGATGGAATATATTGCTTAAAAAGCAGTCGACCTTTGAATTTCATAAGGGACTCGTCAATTGAAATATCTTTATCGGGGACATAATTTTCAGAAAAATTTGTCTGACAGGAGTTGGATAAAGGGCCGAATTTTATAGAGCCTGTCAAACAGTGGGTCATCATTAAAATGAAGGCATAGCAGCAGTTGCAGGTCGCGATCCCTCAACATAACCTCAGGGAAAAGAGGGGTAGCCAGGATGCGTTGCTTGCTCCAGTAGGACCTGATACTGGGATTTTTAACAATACCCATCATTAGGGTTAAAGCCCAAAACCGCTTCATCTCTGTGACATCCGTGGGTCTCCACATATTCCTGCGACCATGATGGGACCCCGGATGTGCAGAGAGATACTGCATAGCAAACAAATTTGTTTGCTGAGCCATGAGTTCAAATATATTGTCTGACATTAAGAGCTCAAAAAAACGAATTGGCTCGCAGTCGTCCACTGTTACAGTGATGCCAGGTGTAACAGTGAACGGCGGTATTTCTGGGGCCATCATGTTTGAAGGCACCCAGTCTCCGTCTGGCATTGGGCTTGCTGAGCGTCCTCTTGTGAGTGGTGGTGGGGCACCATCACTTGAGGTCTCACTCAGAGGCTCAATTTTTAGAGGCAGTGATAGTGTCACTGTCTTGCAGAGTGTCTCTATGACTGCCTGCCAGAATGGCATACGTCTCCTCGGCTGAGTAGCGACGTGCCATTCTAGGGGGACAAATTAATTTAATTTATATACTAAGGGGGTAATTAATTATCTACCTGCCTAACACCCGCCCTCAAAAAATAATATAAATGTACTGATCACAGTATAGGCAGCTGCAATCAGTACACCGAAAGGGTTATTTTTAGATCTATAAAAATAACCCTAAAAAAAAGGTCAGTCTGATCAGAGAGCCCTCTGATCACAGTGATCACTGATACAGTACTGTACAGTAGCTATACTGTACAGTATAGTGATCATGGCAGCGGGGAAAGGGTTAAGGGAGATTTGGGTTGCTGCGCTGACCCCCAAAAATATAGTACTAAATGCCCTAATCAGGCTGATAACAGTTAAATGCTGTGATCAGCACTGAAAGGGTTAAATAAAGATTATAAAGGAGGGAGGGGGGAGAAGATGCGAGGGGGAGAGGTTATGGGGAGAAGATTACAGTAGTGAGGGAAGATGGGAGGGAGAGAATAGGGAAAGGGGTGGGGGAGAAAGGTTAC